GTCAACCACACGACGTCGAGGGCGGAGAACAAAGCGACCCGCGCGTGCCCGCCCCATTCTTCCTGGGGCAAAGAGCCGCGTTGGCGGAGCCCGGCTGGCGCCCAGTGAGTTGCTTCCGGCCTTTCTTGATGATGTGTGCGTGATTGCCCGTCCGGACCGCACCCGCCCGATTTTTGACATGCTCTCGGTTGTGGCGACACGCGCACATCCGTCTCAACGCTGGCAAAACCAAGGTCTAGAACGCAACTGGGCACGAGGTCTGAGTTGGCCTCCGGCTCTGATCCCGTTGTCCTCGGCATGCCTGTGGCAAGGAAGCATGTGTTTTTTTTTGTGCGCCTGCCAGGGCGCGCGAAGTGAGACCGCAAAGGCGAAACGGCCGAAGCGCAGAGCCCCTGCGGCACTCGCGCCCCGAGACAAGGGGAGGGAGCGGCGCATCCAAGGCCTCAGCCTCGAAGTGGGGGATGCGTCTGCAAGCGGCAAAATGTCGCCGAGCAGCGGCCCCCTTTTCCCGTGGGCAGGGGTGGCGGCAGCCACCGCCCCAAGACGGTGCTGCACACCGCCCGCTGCGCAGCAACACTGAGCAGGCTCCACCAGCGGCGAGGCCCCCACGCAGGCGCGGTGGCCTTGGCCAACCCCAATGCATGCATGCACTGCTTGTTCACTGATGCATCCAAGCCACTTCATTGGTCATCATCACCTGCAAGCTGACAGCCCACATGACCACCATCATGGCCATCAAATGGATGGGCTCAATTCTCACCATGGCTTCAGATGCACAAAATGCTTCATGCCAACAATGCTGCAACGTGCTGCCATACTCACATTCCATGTTTGCTCATCAGTGCCTGCGCAACTGCATGGTCCATTGGCCTTGCTCATGCCCCCAGCACATTTGCTCATGATGATCAGCTAATCATCATCCATAGACGCTGCATGCCAGTATGGCTCTAATGATATGTCCAGTTCATTCATGAAGCCAATGACTTCATCCCTCCTCTCACTCACCATCCAAGGTTTTGATGGCCAGGAACTCATGCCATCCTTCGATCCCTAGTTCGCATTGACAGAAGCATGCTTTCATGGCAGGGAACACATGGTTTGCTCTCATGGGCACATGATTGATTAACTCACGACCAGGTAACTGTGGTGGTTCTCACCATGCATCATGCCAGTGAACTCATCAGTGCCATGCATGTTTTCATGTTTGCCAGCATCTCCATACAGAGCTCAGCATTGCTGGCAGAGGCATCATTGTATTGATCCTTCATGTCACCTTGATTCAACTGCCTCACAAATGGGCATGGGAGTCTCAGAAGCCTCATCACTGATGCACTGCCCATTAATGGATCACTTTCTCCTATAGCATCATGTTTAAAACATGTCTGTCTCAATGATGACAGTCTCATTGTGGCCAATCATCATTTCATTGCCCTGATCCGCAAAAGCAATGAGCCAGCCCATCATGGTCCATGTGTCTGAATATCGACCATTGGCCGTAATGAGCTCTCTCCATCCTCCGAATATGGACCAATCCTGTGCACATGTTGGCCCAATATGCAGAGTCATGCCCAACTGATGCCAGGTCGTCATCTGATTCCAACTCATTGTGAGCTGAGCTGATACTGACAATTCCTCCCATGAGCCCAGGCCTGATGAGCCGGAAGAGCCTAACAACCACTGGGGTGGCCATGCAAACCTGATGCAATAAGTCACTTAATCTCAATGGAAACCTCATCAAATTTTATGGAATCCCATTGGGGGGGCAAACCTGATGGAAAAGTCACTCAATCTCTCTGCAAACCTCTTCTCATTTCATGGAATCTTACTAGGGTGGCCATGCAAACCTGATGGAAAAGTCACTCAATCTCAATGGAAACCTCATCAAGTTTCATGGAATCTTACTCAGGTGGCCAATGCAAATTCAATTCCAGATCTCAAAGGGAAGCTCCAGCAATACTAAATCAAATAGAAACTCAATTCCAGATCTCAAAAGGAAGCCCCAGCAATATTAAATCAAATGGAAACTCAATTCCAGATTTCAAAAGGAAGCTCCAGCAATACTAAACAAATGGAAACTCAACTCCAGATTATTAAGGGGGGGTGGCAAAAAACCTTCCGACATTTTGCTCCCCAACACCTTCCCGACCTTCGAGGGGGGGGGGGGGTTACATGCTAATACGGGGTCAACATTAGGCCCCAAATGGACATGGCAATGGTCGTATGCACCAACGCCATGTATGCTTACCACCATAGCGTGAAAGGAGGACAGCTATGACAAAGCCATGGGTCGCCTCGGCGCGTGGCGCAAATTGGGCGCCCCACGGCAGTCTCACTGGCTTGTACGGGTGGTGCTGGAGAACTGCTTCATGGGACTGCGGGCGGGGATCCGCAGCTCCTCATTGCCTGGGGCTTTGCCGTCAGAGCACGGGCCGCAGCCGAGAATTTGCAAAGCGTTCCAAACCCGCAGCCGCCTGGGCCCATTCGCCTGCCTTGAAGAAGCGTGCTCGTCGCTCGAGCTCGACTGGGGCGATCCGTGCTGAGACTCGCGGGGCCAAGTTCTTTGTTCCGCGACTTCAGAAAAGAAAATTGAAAACCTCTTATTCAATTCTCTTGTGTCAATTCACTACTGCAACTTGCTAGCGCCACTTGCTGGTGCTATTGGCTCGTGAGGCTTGCTAGAGCCATTGGCTAGTGCAACTTGCTAGCGCTATGTTGCTAGTGCTGCTGTCCAGCACCCAGGTTTGCTTTAGGGGTGTCAAAAGGATATATTTTGAGGCCACAAATTTCATCAGGACCCTTGCAAAAACAAATGCTCCTTGGATGGATGCGTCCGTTCGCATGCTTGGCCAGGTGGATGAGCTGCAGAAACGGCAGCTGTCCTCTACGACGCGGTATTTGCAGGAGGGGGTGAGGGGATGTCAGGAGGGGTTTCGGGGACGGATCTGGCAGCGGAAAAAAGAAATGCGTAAGGGGGCAAGCACATGCTGCACGCCCTGAATGTTGCAAACAAACGGGAGTTGTGGATTTATTGGTGGTTTGTTGTTGGATCTGGTTGGTTCACTTGAACAATTCGAGGAAGCCAAAACACGGAATTGCTTCGTGCAAGGAGCTTGGAACGGTGCGATCCCACTTGCGCAACGTGACCGCGGCAGAGAATCATACCAGCTTGGGACACAGCTACGCAGCTAGCCGTTCTGAGTCATAACGCTGATTGGGCAGATCGGCTCAGAAATGTTCATCGGTTTGAGCCCCCTTGCGAATCGGAAAAAAGTTGATTGCAAATAATTGTCGCTGATGGCCCTTCCAGGGCACGATCGCTAGTCGTCACTACTCGTCAGCATTCCTAGCTATGTTTTCGACCTAGTCTACACATTTTTGCCCCGTACTCAGGGCTTGCAAGCCAATCGGCAGCCCATTGATGGCTGACAAGAAAATAGTAAAAACACGCACGCACAGTTGCGCACATTTCCACTTGTTTAATTACAAGCTAAGGCTATCTAAGGCTCATTAGTCGCAAGAAAACTGCGCAACCTAATTCGCATACTGGTTCCACATGTAGATCCTTTACAGCGCTCTGCCAATAGGGAAAGTTGCATCAGGCCAAGCCAAATTTCAACTTTGCCGCAGGCACAACAGGAGGCCCTCAAGAATGACAGTGTGCTCATCCAGTGGCCCTTTGCTTGAGCCCATTAGACCGTGGCAAAGTGGGGAGTGGTTCAGTGGGCGGTGCAGAAGGGAACTGTACTAGTTTTTTGAACGGTACTGCGCGCGCAAAGTTCTTCAGGCCAAGCTGCAGGGGAAAGCGGCAAAGGCCGGGGAACCGAATTGGTTTGACCATTCGGTGTCACAGACGAATGCTCAGATGTGTAACGTGTATGGATGTGTATTGTAGATGTGCAAGACTTCAACCCATGAGAAGTTGCATGTTGCAATCCGAGTGCCAGGCTCTTTTGCAAGCACCGTGACGTCAATGAGGCCGTGCTGCGACCGTTAAAGGTCTTACACCTTTCAAGGGCCATTCCAAGGATCGTTTGGAGGGTGTCATTGTAATGGACGCAGTTGTCATGTGGCGTGCTTTTGCAGTCGCAGCCCATGGCGACAAAACCAGGCAGGCAGCTACTGTGACCACAGCTTTGACATCGGCGTTGAAGAAGACAAGAGGCCAGCCTATGTGCCTTGAACTCGTCTCCCGCACTTCCACCTTTGGAATAACAGGTCAAAGTCCTGACCCGATGTTTGGCAACCAGTCATGTGTGCTGCCTGGATCAACGGTTGGGAATGTGGGGCATGTTTGCCCGTGACTCAAATGATGAAAGCACCATGTCAAATGCAAGGTGTAGGGAGGAATGTTGACCAAGTTGAGCCTCAGACCAAGCAAGGCATAGGCGTTTGACGGTGGCGTGTGCCAGGCGGAGACTCCAGCCGAAGGCTGGCGGCGTCCGGTGATGGAGAAATTGAGGAGGGAGCATTCAGCTGAACGTAGGAGCTGAATTTCAGGAGTTTGCTTTTAACTCGAAAAACGAAATCGTGTCTATCCGTTTGTTTTTGTTTTTTCAGGGATGTATCCATCTCGGCTTTTGGTGAGGCCCTCCATCAGCGAGAAGGAGGCGGACATCCTCGAAACACAGGCAGCGCGTAGTGCGGAACACCCCGCTGATTCACCTCCTGTTTGGTAGCCAGCTAGTGCGTGGTTTCTTTCTTCATGAAACTGGCGCAGTGAATTTGTATACTCAGCCAAGACCGGGGCGGAAGCTTGCCATTCCAATAGTTACATGAACATGTCAAGAGTTTATTCGCTGTGCAAGTGTAAATGCATTGGCTTCATGTTTGGCCACCAATCCTTGTCCTTGCGTTGCGTCATTCCCTGCTCTTTGCGCTTTTTCACGCTCCCACCCTGCATTTTAGTTTGCGCATGCGCTGGAACACCCAAATGCATCGAGCGGTGAGTGGCCTCCAAACAGTTCCGAGAGGGATATCCCTCAGGAAGGCCTGGCTGCTGGGTCCATGTGCAAGCCAACACGTGCGCGAAGCGTTCGTCTTTTCATTTGTCCATATCTCCTGTGAGGGAGAGGGCTGAGATACTGCACAGCCAGAAATTGCTGGTCACCGACAATTGGGGCATGGGCGGGCTACCGATTTTCCCCTGACACATCTGGACGTCCAGAGGCTAAATTGTTCAGCTTGCCAGCGGCTGGTGCTAAACGAACGCTTCCGTGAACCGCCCAAATCTGAGCTCCCTCCAGCTGTGGCGAGAGTCCTGTATTCTTGGACTCGGGGCCTTTACGGGTCGCTAGGCCCCAGATTCCCAGATGGTTTTAGAACCCTTCCAACGCCAGATGTCGTAAGATTTGCTTTCCCTGGGGGTTGGCATCCAGCCGAAGGTGTCCACTGACGATGATCACGAGCTTCGGCCTTCCATGTCCATCACGCGCAGCTCTCAGCACCATGCGGGGCCCAAGGAGCGGGAAGAGGCGGCAGCAAGGAGGGGAGGAGGGGGGAAAGGAAGGGGGGATCCAGAAAGGAGATATCACGAAACGTAGCCTCCCACCAGCGCTATTATGGAACCTGACGTTCGGCAATTCCTGGAAGAGATACTTCTTGTTGTTTGAGTCCCGAACGTCAGGTTCCATGCAACAAAGGTAAAGCTAAAATGAACTTGGGACGGCTTACCCATGGTGCGGCAGAGCGGGAGAGGGAGAGAGAGAGAGAGAGAGGCGAAACAAAACTTCAACGAATTCGCGTTCCGGCCTGGCCAATTGGCACATGTCCTTGCTGAGGTCCAACCCGAGCATGAGAAAGGCGTGTGCTGTGACGGCTTCGTGTGTTGTTCCTCATTTGCTGGGGCGGACCCGCGGTGTTCTAAGCACACAGTCTGCCATCTATTTTAAGTTTGGTTGGTCAAATCAGCCAAGTCAACACCTTTCCAGTTTTGCGCTATGGATGGCCTGCAGCCCAGGCGTTTGACTGGAAGCTAGCAGTGAAAACAAGGGATTGGAAATTGAAAGTCGTCCAAAACCCTGCTGTCAGCAAACTCGGCCCAACACGTTTCTTGAATTTCTAGTCCTACGTTGGGTTGCCCGAGAAATCACCTCTGAACTTTCGTCAGCTTCCATGATCGTGGGCTTGAGGGTGATGATGGATGGCGTAGTGGTTCATGTTGACCCAGGATTGGTAAACCCGTCCCATTATTTGGGGGGGCGTTCCCTCCAGAAGTGATGAATCCCCACCAAAAAAAACACCCCCCTAGAAATCAACCAGGGGTTCTGCTTGATCCGGACGGACGCGACGCGGCAACCCGAGGGCCGGAGGTCACTGACAGTCTCGGGCGCCGCAGCTGCAGCACTGGCGGCCAAGCGTACGGCGCGGATTTCGGGGGCTTGGGGTGACCGAGCCATCAAGCGCTCACCTTCTGAGTTCATAGACTACTAAAGTCACTTTCTGGGAAGACCGGTCCCTGGCATACTTGTGGGCGAGGGGTTGGGGCTTAGCCAATCCAGCTGCTGCTGGCTTTGTTTCTTTGGCCCATTTGGTGAAAGATCAAGCACCTTTTTCCAGGTCGGTTCTGACAAGTGAGTGGAGTTTGGGAAAAGAATGATGGAGTGGGACATCAGGCTTCAGTGATTCAGACAGAGGCTGGGAGGAAGTCCGAGGGGCTTCAAACGGCTTTTGGATTCGACGGTTGCCCGGCAAAGGAGTTGATTCGCTAGATCCATCCAAATGCGTTGCTAAGTTGACAATGCAGAATGCAGGCCAGAGTTTGGATGGTGAGTAGCGCGCCAGGCACGTCAGCCGTCGGTGGATGGAGGTATAGCACCAGATGTTTGGGTCTCAGAGTGATGGGTAACCTCACCCTCCCGCACAGACTTTCACGAGCGGAAAGTTTTGCTTCCTACCTGCGTTGGGCGCAACACATTGAAACAACCAACCTTACAAGGGAACCGAGAAGTAGATGGTTTAAGCGGTGGCGTTTTACTGGGTTCCCCGCCGTACTTGAATTTTAGGTTTTAGGGCTCAGTGGGGGGGTTCCGTTTTTTCCCCACAACGTTCGGCAGGGGATCGGACAACGGCCAGCTCAGTGGCATTGGTTGAGCCCTGCCATCGCTCGCCTTCGGAGCCCCCGAGGTTGGATCAGAGTTCGGGGACGTGCATCACTACATGTGGGACGCGGTGGAGCATTTGGACAAGGCCCAGCTGGTGAAACACAGACCATGGGTCCTGGGTCTGTCTTTTTTTGATACCCCGTTCTTGCTGTGGATTGAAAACCCACCCATTTGGGGGTACCACGCCCAAGCTGGATTTGTGATATTGTGGGTTTATTCGGGCAAGGGCGGGTGGTTGGCACGTGGAAGAGCTAGGAGTGACATGCGCATTGCAGGGCCTCCAGGTCATCGTCTGCAAAGTGCACCTGGGACGCACAGCGAAGCAGGCAGCGTCAGCACATGTTGAGAGGGTCCATTGTTTGATCAAGGACTGCCCAATGCACGCAACAGTGTGTTCGCCAAGAGCCGGCTAAGCGTGCCAGCCTGATGATCGCACTACAATACACATATTTAAATTTATATTTACACATATACATGACTGCCTGAACGCCCGACGTAGCTCACTTGCCCAAGCTGACTGACTGTTTGAAGTTGTGATGTTCCCATGTGGGTTTCTGACCTTTTGCTTCGATGCAAGTGATTGGATGCAACTGGATTAATTTGCAATCCGCAGGCTCCGTTCCATTTTCACTTTGCGAGGGAGGGATCCGAGGATTGCCGAGAAGATGCAGTGCTTCAAGACGCAGAAAGAGGCAGGTGCCATGCGAAAGCTCCTTCACGCCCAATTGGGGAATTGTGTCGGCGTCCGATTGCGTGTGTGCAGGGATCAAGCATATCATCATGCTAATTTGTGGTTGAAATGTGTTTTTCCAACTGCTGAACCTGAACCAACTTTGCAGCACTTTCAAGTGGCTCCTGCAGTTGCGCGGCCTAATTCTTTTGGTAGCTTCTTCGTGCTGGTTTGGGTGGGAAACAAGATGAGAACCGGCCCCCAACTGCTCTTCGAGGCCACAGTCCTGGCGGAATTGAGCGCCTTGTGCCGACGCATGGAGTCTTTCTTGCAGGCGGGCGCTTTTTCTGGCTCGAACCGCCAGACTGAACCCGCCGCTTTGCGGCGCCCTTTAGGAGTTGCTCACATGTTGCTCACCAGCAAAAAGAAAACACACATAAGCCCACCAACAGCCCCGCAACTCCTGGCAACCTCCCCGAAAGCTGCCCCAAACCACCCCAGAGCCTTTCTGGGCAGAGACCAAGGCTTAGCTGTTGGGGAAAAATGGACGGTCGCTCGTCAGGGCACCTCGGTCGAGGATCAGGAGAAGCAAATGCAGGAGGCCTGCATGCCGTCAGGTTGCCGTAAGGGCAGGGCGTAGGGGGTAGAGTTGGATGGTTCGTGACCCTAAGGGGCGAAATTATTGTTGTATTTCATGTCGTTCAAGAACATGTGGGTTGGTGCAAACTCAACTTTTCGCCGGCGCCCGGCACGCAAGAGAACCTTGCATTTCTGCTTCAAGACGAAACTCAAGGGGCCCTAAATGGTCTGATCCAGCTTGCGCCATTTGTTAGAACCCGTTAACCGGTCATCAAAGCCCCCCCCCCCCCACAAATCAGGCATTGCACGAATGTCCAACCCACTGGCTGCCTTGGCTTGGCAGGGCTTCCCTTGAAACCAACCCAAAAAGCGGGTAATGCCAAGATGGGCCTACCGTTTCAGGAGTTACCGTGGATGGCGGAACTCTATTTCGGACCACCTAAGAACCTCTGGAATGATATGGTTTCAACCACAGCTTCAAAGGATTTCGTCCATCCACAGCATGGGCACGCTCGTACCGACCGCCAGGCGCAGGCGAAGCTTGAGGCCAAGGACGCGGAGATCCTGCGGCTCTGCGAGCGGCTGCAGCAGAGCATGGAGCAGGCCGCGGAGCGCCTCGGAGATCCATTCAGCGGCCCCCGGAAGAAGGGGGAGGAGGGGATTCCCGTCGGTTTTTTCAAGCCGGAAAGGGGTGCCAAAATACGAAAATAGAGGTGCCCTGGTAGAATGGAGGCAGACTAAAACATGCGGTTTTTTCTGGTGGTTCAATTTTGGCCCATGCCCGGGTGTCAAAAAAGCAGAGGAAGCTGAATTCGCTCGATGTCCCTAGAACCCGTGGAACCCCACGTTTGCCAGTCCCAACAAACCGCTAAATGAGCGGCGGAACTCCACGCTGTGCTTGTGGTGTGGCCTTGGTGGACGTTATTCAGGGCTCTCTCTCTGCTTCCATTGATTTGGACTTTATGGGGCCGGCTTCATACTCCTCAGAGTAAGATGAGCCCCCCCCAAAAGAAAAGAACGCAACAAGAACACAGCCACCGAGCTGTGACTCACCTCCTGCGCTAACTAGAGAGTTCACCCAAAGGTTTCACAGTTTCTTGATTGCTGTTGGGTTGGATTAAGCTTTAGCTCTTTGGTTCAACTCCAGGGTTTTTGTTCATTCAACCCACAAGAAGTGAACAACTTGTTGGAGAGGGGTCCCCCAGCAGCCAAGATTTGAGTTGGACTTTCAGACGCATGTGTAGAGCCCTCTTTTGGTTGGTCTAAAGGACGCCTCACGCCTCAAAACCGCAGATGCCGGCTCCATGTTGCAGACTTCGGCTTTTGGAAAAGCTTCGGCTGAGGAAGGAGGGCAGCATGCTGAAGACGCTGGAGCAGCAGGACTGCTTTGTTTGCGTGTACGGCATTCCTGCCAGTCCTTATCCCATGCGGCATTGTAGGTAACCCCCCTATAATTATTATGGATGTCCTTTTTTACCTTTCAGCCCAAACACAAGCAGGGTTTCCTCCATTTCACGTTTCCGAAAACAGTGCAGTTTCTTCTGTTCTTTACCCCTGGCAAGCTGAACAAAATATGAAAAGGGGGGGTTGTCCCAAGGGTTCTTATGCGTAAGAAGCCTTGGGACAACCCTGGGGCCAACCACCAAGCACAGCCAGCGGACCCTCCTCGCGCGCGCGCGCGTACGCGCGAGGAAAGGGTGCGCCACAGCATCCAGCGCGAGCTGGTGGAAGCACAGGCGTCGTGTGCTACCCTCAAATGGGTCTAAGGTTTTTTTTTGGGGACCCCCCGTCTCATCTTGTTTTCTGCGAATAAGAAAACATGTTTTTCTTTTTTCGGGGACCCCCCAGTCCTCATTTTGTTTTCTGCGAATAAGAAAAAGCTTGTGCTTGTCCTTTTGGCTTTGCTGTGAACCCCAAGCAGGGAATCCTCGAAAACATGCCACGCCCAGCTCTCTTTTTCTTCGACCACCGAACTGCGACTTCCGCCGGCGCCGCTGCTGAGCGAATCTTTGGAACCCGTGGGCTGGGGACTGTCTTGATTTTGTTCCGTTGCTTCGGACGAAACAATGTTAAGGCGCTTTTGGAAAAGGGTTGTTTCCACCAATTCAAAGAGTTCTGCCATGTTCTGCCTATTTGGGATTTGAGCTTTGGAGAGATTCCAGCGAGTTCATGAAGGTCTTTTAAATGGTTGGTCTTCCAAGAACCCGCAAAACGGGGTCCTTCTTGATTTGGTTGAAAAAGGAAATTCCGCCAAAGGCCTGGTTTTTCAGGGTCCAAGACCAAGATCCTGCTTTTATTATATTTTTTTTGCTTTTTTGGGGTCTTTGTTTTCCACCAACCAGGCAATAAATATTCTTTGCTGGGGTCCTAGTTCCAGCCAAGTCGGATTCCTCATTTCCAGACCGAGCCGCGAGCCGCAGGCCAACCTGAGAACCTTCCAGCAGAAGTACCAGGCCCGGACGTGGAATCTCAGCGCTTCTGTCTCAGCTTTTCATGTCCTCTTGGGGTCCTGTTTACTTCCATTTGTTTAAGTATGTTTTGTTTTCCCCTGTTGGTTTTAAAGGGAATCTATCACTACTGGACATATCTTTTTATTTTTTCCAGGCCGCTTAAGCAAATGGAAGTTGATGTTGCAGCTCTGGTTCCCTTCAGAAAACGTGATCTTAGTATTGTTGTTGGATTGATGAGGGCCGGTAAGGAGGGCCTTGGCCAACAAAGGCACTGTTGCAGCTGGGGCGCCATGCGCAAACCCGGAAGCTCGCCTTAACACCTCTGGAAAACTCTTTGTTAGGGTGTTCGGGGAAGTTATAGTACGTGGTTAGCCACGTCAGTTGCAAACCACCAAGTTTACTATAATAGACTAAGGCCCCCAAGTGGACTTGACCGCGGGTCTGTCCATGGCAAGCCAGGGGGCTAGTCACTTACGATGGCCGAACATCCAGGGGCCATAGGGCGGGGGGCCCTTTGGCGTTGGAGTTTTGGTGCTTTTGGCTCAGGGTTCAAGAGAAGCCTCCTGCGGCCATGGGTTTTACCAAAATGGCCCCCCAAATAAAACAAGTAAGTCTTGGGTCCAAAAAAGCAAGCACGGAATGCAAGCGGAAGCAACCAGAGGACTGAGTTACTCCTAGACTCATTGCGCAGCCAGAGGTTTCGGGTGGTTCCTTGATTCCAGGAGCTGTCGCAGGAGCTGGCGCAAGCAAAGGAGCGGATCCGGGGCGAGCGGTGGTGAGCCATTGGCTTCTCTTTCTGAAGCCAGTCCGGGGATGGATATGGGTGTGTCCGTTTTTGAGGGAGCCGGTTTTTGGCTGGTTTCAAAGGGAAACCAAAAGGAAACTCACCTTTTGGGGGGTACCCCGGTACCCCTATTTTGAGACGCACCCATAAATGTTGGTTGTTTGCGCTCTTTGTTTTGTGTTTTCGATCCTTCACTTCTTGAACAGATTGAATGGGGCAGTCAAATCAAGGTTCCGTGAACTCTCCCCCTTTTAAAGGGAAACCACAAGGATTTTGGGGCAAAATCAAGTCCAAAAACAGAACAACCTCATTCAGGAACTCAATCCCTGACACTCCTCTCCCTGATGCCTTCAGACCTTGGGGGAAGTGCGTGCTGGGAATCAATCCTTGCTCATAAACCGTCCCGAAACCCACTCCGCAACTGACCCTACCGAATTCACCCGGGGTGCCAAAAGGGCGGAACCTTCCAAGGAGCCCCCCCTTGCCTTTGTTGGATTGTACAAATTCAACGCAACCAGTCAATCTTGAGGCCAAGCCCCGAAAAGATCTGCCAGCTTCTTGGGGAGAGAACCACTCCGGTCTTCGGAGAACGGACATGGTCCAAACGCCGCGCGCGATCGCCACACCTCGGCCTCCGGCCGGCCTCCGGCGCGAGGAAGCGGAGGCGGCCGCGCAGAAGGAGCGGTCCCAGCTGCAGAGAGCGAGGCTCCGGACGACTTCGCGGGCAAAGCGCGCGTGGGGCGCGGCCAAGTGTCTCGGATTCGAGGCAAAAGAACTGCCAGGCCTCCAAAAAGGGCGAAGCCCCGTCTTTTTTTCGAAAGGCGTCGGATCTTCGGACGAGTTTCAGCGATTGGAGTCGCAGGGTGCAGCTGCTGCGGCCGGGGGGCAAGACGGACCCCACGCATCCCAACCTCCAGGCCCGCACTGGACGTTGAGACAGCGAGGGTGGGTGAGCAGGTGGTTCGTATTGTTGACTCCAGATCCAAAAAAAATACAACTGGTTGAAAAAGCAACCTGGTTGATTAAAAACCGGGGGGGGGGGGGCGGCTGTTAGGTGAAAGGCATATGAACGGGTTGATTAATAGGGGGTGTCCCCTGTTAGGTACATATCCGGGGTCAGCGCCGGGTGGGAAGGGCAGCCAAAGGAACACAGTTGTTTTCTCGCTGTTTTCTTCTGGGGGGGGGGGGGGGAAAATAGTTAATAGGGGGGCCCTGGGGTAGGGTATTTTCAATTCAAGGTTTCAGGGGCAGGGATGAAATTAAACAAGCAAACCATTTTGTCCAAAACACCAAGGGGGATTGTGGGGAATTTTCCTAAATTTTCTCAACATTTTTTTACAATTTTTTCATTATGAAACAGTCTAAGATTTCATCATTTTCAAGGTTCGGGTTTCAGACAATTTTACGGCTTTCTGGGGGATACAAGTGTTTAACCATATTATAGTTAAATAATATGAATAAACTTAATCATAAAATCTCTATAATTAAACCAGTCTATAATCAACCTTTTCTTTTCTAACAAATGACAGACGAATTTATGGTAAAACTCATTGTCAAAAATGTTTTTATAAACGACTTTGTCTTTGTTTTCTATATATTGCCATTTCAACATTTTAAGAAAATCTCTACACATCGAGATGCTAAAATCTTTACAAGATACATAACCATCATTATTATGAAAAAGTAAATTATAATGAAATTGAGTAGCGGTTTCATAATACAAGATTAGCCTATTGTCATATCCATACTCTTTTAATGTTTTGTCTAAACCAGTTGTAAATATTGTCCGTAATGATTTTTTCGTTGGACATTTATTTAACCTCGTCATATACCAAATCCACTTATCCATTTCTTTTAAATTGTCAGGTTCGTTTTTCATTAAATGTTTTGTAATGGTGCATCTTTTACAACATACAAAACTCAATATATTATCAATGATACAGTCAGGAAATATGTCATTTGCTTTTTTGACTTTGTTGTTGTATATCTTACAACCACGGCATTTTACAATTTCTTTTGTCAATTCTTCTCTGATACACTTATTCATTTTTTCCTTAATATATTAAGGGGTCATTTCTTTAAGTAGTTTTAGTTTTTGCAGGGTTGATATTTTGGTTTTCAGTTTCATCATTTTCACTTTCAGACTCGTCCCCATCCACACCGGTAGGTACAGGCATATCGGTAGGAGGTGCTATTTCATAATTAGGATTTTCTTCTGATGATGATGAATTAACAGTATGCGTTGAAGAACTATTAACAGTGATAGGAGGAGAACTATGAACACTAACAGGCGGTGAGGTGTTTAAATCAACTTCTTCACTAACATTTGTATTCAACCAATTCATTATAGCAGTTGCTATATCGTATGATGTTACTAATGAATTCATTGTTAAATTAACTAACAACTCTGAACCTTGAATTGTGGTTATTGTAGTGTGATATGTTAAATGTGCTACTATTTGTCCTATACTAAAACCTGAACTCATCATAAATTCTATAATCCTCATCAACATAAATAATTTCTTTCTATATCTATCAATGTCATCATCTTTTTTGTCATCATCATCATCATCGTCATCATAATATAAATCAGGGTCATATGTAAATGCTTCTGCTTCTGCTTCAGCCTTGGTTATCATTTTACTTTTGAAACTCTTTGAAGACCCACCTAATAGTTTTGTCATATCATCAAAATTATAAGTTTGTGTTTCTTTATCATTTGGTAGGTCCGTTTGTGTTGCCTTGTTTTCTTTGTTAAGCGTTTGTGTTGCCTTGTCTGCCATCATAACTTGAACGTTCATATATCTTTCTTTATTTTTATAATTCATTAAATCCATTTTATCAAAATCAAAATTATTCAATCGCATATCTTTCTTGTATTTCTTCAGTATAACTGTTGTTTTTATTTTGTTTGTCATTGCTTGTTTAAGCATTTCATCATATGTGGGGCGTTTCTTTAACTCGTGTTTGCGGTTGTTAATCATTTTTATATAATTGTTGACAAATTATATAAATGATTTAATCCTTTGTTGCTGCTTTGCCTTTGCCTTTAATATCTCTCCAATCTTCCATTCTTTTTCTTAGCAATTCATCATTTACTTTCGTCATCCATTTTCCGTTGTTTATAAGTTTCTCCACCAGTCCAACTAAATAAGTTCTACCTGTTTCCTTTTTTCCTTTGCCCTTTTTCTTTGTGTTTGAATATTGTTGTTCCTGTTCTTCAGTAAGTCCTGCTCCTCTTAAATGTAATTGAAATAATAAGTCTTCTTCTTTTACTGTGCTTCCCTTCCAATGGTTTATATCAGTTGAGTAGTCAATGGTTTCCTTATGTGTTCTTGTTTGTCTTTGTGGGACTGTGGATGAGCTGTCAGCGTTGTCCATTGTTTGCTCTCTTGATGATGTCACTTTCTTTGCTACATTTTTGATTTTACGATTTACAAGGCCTTTAACATATTCTTTAACTGCTTCATCTTCTGTCATAAGCGGTTCTAACGGCGGTAAGTCATCATCGCTTGATTTAGCAGTTGCCATTGATTGAACCTCTGATGGTGTATCATATTTTGTTTTTCTCCAATCTGTGGCTACCCGTGCCCTTTCATGTAAATCATCTAAAAATTGTCGTCTAACATCTTCTGACATTTGACTTGTTTGTTGCTCGTGATGTTCCTCGGCGTCGTCCATTGTGGCGCTTAGTGTTTGTATTGCTCCATCTCTTAAATCATCCATTTCATCGTCCCTTGTCATATCAAACTGCTCGACTGTTTTAGGTTTTTCTAACATTTTTTGAAAATGTTGTTGTCTCAAATCTACGGTATTATTGTCATACACTGTTCCTAATGGACTATCACGAAAATAATAAGCGTTTCTGTCTATTACATCTCTGATATTCTTATTTTTATATTCTTCCTTTGTAATTTCCTTTATCAGTTCATTATAAGACGGTCTTAATCTCAATTGTGATTTTAGCGTTTTCATCTGTGCATTTTCTAATCTCATTATTATATGAAATTAATTAGATTATAAAATTTATTTATCTAATTTAATTAATTTATTCAAAATTAAAATTTTGTCTTAATTGATTGATTATTCCTTTTTTCTTCTTAATCATTTCCGAATAGGTTTTACCTGTTTCACTTGATGGATGATGTCTTATTTTTTCACCTTCCAACCTTTGGATTTCATTAAAATACGCCTGTGCTTCATCTTGATATCTTCTTCTATTTTGAAATATAGAGTAATCTTTTTTAGCGTTATGAAATTCTAACTGTTCCTTCATTTCTTTCAGATATGTATAGTTTGGTTGGTGTGCTTTGTTGTCTCCGTCGTAATAGTAATGGACATTAGATTTATATTTTTTACTTGGTTTTGTTATGGGATTATAAAATTTGTTTGATGTTGGTAGTTTACCTGCTTTACCATTATTTGTAAGTGTTGATGTTATATTTTCAAAATCTGACTTGTTCATATAATAATAATTAGATTATAAATTTATTTATCAAATAATTTTTGATACTAATTTATTAATATGTTCTTGTTTCTTTTCCATCTTCTGCTGTTTCATATTAATATATCTATCTTTTGCGGTTTCAAATACTTTATTTGCTGTGCTTTCTATATGTTGTTTTAACCTTTCTTCAACTTTTTGTTGAACACGCTTTTCTATTTCTTGTTCATCCACTTTAATATTATCTTTAACTTTACTATATACATTATTTTCAAACTCTTTTGCTTGCCCCTCGTTCATAATTTTGCGTCTTACAGGTTTGTTTGGGTCTGGTTCTTTTTTAACTGGTATTCCATTACAGTTATGACGATATTTGAAAGTGTATTTTGTTAAATATTTTTTACATTTTGGACATTCCACTTTTTCAGTTGAGTATGTTTTAGATTTTAATTCTTGCTTTGGTGGTTCGTCTATATTATTATCTGGTGTATTGTCTTTATTATTTTCTTCCTTTATAATATTATTAGTTTCTACTTCTTTACTTTCTTCATTAATAATAGGTTCTTCTTTACTTTCTTCTACTTCTTTAGGTGCTTCATTATTTTCACTGCCTACATCTACTATTTCAATATTTTTAACCATATAATTAGTATATAATAAATATTTATATTAAAATATTTTAATATAATTAGTATATAACAAATATTTATATTAAAATATTTAATATATGCTTTTCTAACCTTCAAAAAATGTTAAACTAAAACTACTTGTTGTTCCATTCATATTTAAAACTCTACCCGATGCATCAGTAAATCTAAAATGAAGTCTATTCAATGAACGCATACTAACATCATTAGCATCATTTAAAATTAGTTCATTATCATATATGAGGTTGCCGAATGATGTTAAAACTGGTACTTTCTTTATTATTGATGAAGTCCCGAAACTACATAACTGGTTCCCATTAGAAAGTTCATTACAATGAATATAAATATTTTTAACAGGTAAAAATGATATAAATCCACTAACAAAAGGGTCTGCTGTACTATTTACTTTTTCGGTAGTATTTCCTAAAATGTCATTAATACTATTAAGATAATCTCTATCATAATCAATACCAAAACTGTAATTTGTTTTTAATTCTTTATCTGTATGGATTACAAAAAAGTAAGAAATATAATTACAACTTATAGTTATATTATTTGTTTTTAATGAATAACTACAAGTAAAAAAATCACTATTTCCATCAGTTCCATTAGTAGCAGTATTCAATTTATTTTGTAATTCGGTTGCTAATTCACTACCTACATAACTACCTTTATCAGGTGCTACAATAAAATAATATACTGGTGCTCCTATTAATATCCCTCCTAATGTTAAATATAATCTGTTATTTAAATTATCTTCAATTGGATAAAATGAATTAGCGATAGATACTTCGTGACAAATCATTTTAGTATTTGGTCCGCATTC